TTCACGTCGATCTTCATATGAACACTGTCTCTCTCTCTCTCTAAGATGACCTGTACACAGATGGACTGCATCATGTCAAGGAGGATCGCTGTCCAAGACCTCTGAAGGATCGCTTGTACTATTGCCTGTCAGGAAGTGACGCGCCTGAAGAATGACATCGAAAGGCGTGGAACGCACAGAGTAGGCGGCGGAGATTTGCAGCAATTTTCGGGCCAGAAATACTACCCAAAACAAGTAGAACATGTTGCTGTTCAAGCATGGCCATTTTTGCCCATGTGTTTTCTTCTTGCTTGGGATTGGTTTTTTTTTCTTCATCTACTGGCTCGCACAATCAAGAACTCTGTTTGGCGCGACCATCTCAAGGGATAGTAAGCTCTTGCCGAGGAGTCCCTTTCAGGTTTCTTCAACTTTACTAACCTGGAGTCATAGCACCACGTAGCGAAGGAATGTCACAGAAAGGAGCTCTACGGCTCCTGGAAGAAGTGTTAATCCCAATGCAGCAATACACCAGAGGAACATCTCAAGTATATACTGAGAAAACACAATTCTGGTGTCTTGATGGGGTTTGGTGACTGTACGTGGACATGCGTGACTTAACAACACCATCAAGAGATCTCAAGTATCAAGAAGCTCATACCGTCCTTTATAGCTTTGCCAGGCTTTGAGTTTGGGGCTTCGTGATCCCAAAAAACTTCAGCGTTCCCTTGCTTTTGAGACGGACATCCTCATTGAAAGGACTAAAGAATACTAAAGACGACTAACAGGATTTGGAACCACAATAGAGAGACCCTTCCATCCGCCAACATCCACATGCTTTGACACAGCAGCTGCGAGCGACTGCTTCCCATGGGTATGGATGGTATGGTCCAGCCGTCCAGCATCACGCGACATCCAGGGCACGTGCGAGCACCAGCACAGAGCGGGAGTCGCGAAGCCCAGTGTGGCCTTTGGAATTTGGTGTGGGTCCGAGGGCTAAAGTGATATCATTGACTTGTGTCTTGGAGGTGGGCATGTCTAGAAAACTGATACTGATGCATTCAGTCCACAGGAGATGTCAAACCAGACGGGGGGAAAAGAAAGGCATTAAGCGCCACAGTGGGAGCCGTGTGAGTTGTTGGAATCCTCGCCAGAGCCTCAAAATCACCAATATCAGTTGCCCTAGTGGTTTCGTAGTCTCCTTGACGGATCACAGGTTGGAACGGACAGGGCTTCTAAGATGTTTTCGACTATAGCATCAAAGATATGTGGGAAGACGACAGATGGTCGTGGCTGATGACCAGTTCTGAGTTTGGCTCTCTCCGTTGGGAACGTGTTTAGTGTTTTTCATTGTTTCGCTCAATTTCCCACCTGGCGAACTGCTGTTGATTCACAGCCTCCGCTGTTGACGTGGGAATCCTCGTTCGCAACGACAGGTTGACGAATGGCAATCACCACGACACCGTCGATGGGTCCGCGCTAAAGACGTATGCGGCATGGCTAGGTGACCCTATTTGTCAAGAGCTTCCATGCTTGTTTTCATATTCGTCCGCCGTCCGCGATAAGTTAGCTTCTAGCATCATGACCCTACCACGGCCGCGGATAACCTTTAACAATCTTTTAGAGGAATCGTTTCCGACTCAAACAAACAGGTGCGAAGGTGCGATAGTTTCCAAGGAAGCTGAGGGAGTCAGCGGCACAGGGAGAAACAACTTATGGCTCCGTAGGTTTCATTCCCAGGTTCTCCGGCGGAGTTAGTGATTGAATCCAACCGCCCTCTCAGAAGCCCACAATGTTTCTTCTACGATCCGCCAGCGGAACTGGGAAAAGTTCCAGGAGGGCAAAAGGCCGTTTTCGGGGGGAAAATGGGGACAGGCAATTCGAAGCTGTTTTCAGACGTTTTTCAGTCCTGGAGAGGTGAGCCCGAGTTCCCATGTGGGGAAGGACGTGCAGATCGTCCGCCGATTTTTTCCGGACCACTTTGTGCTGAAACGTTTGGGGGTGTAGGATAGTCCCATTGGCAAACCCCTAGTTCGGGGTGCGTCCGGCAGGAAGTGACGTGAGTCTTTGACATTCTCTTGTTCCATCTATTTCTCTATGTTCCAGGATTCTTCCTCCAAACTTCTTCTCGTCCAAACACCGCCCCAGTGCTCCAGCTCTCCCATGGCCTCTCCGTGCCGTCGACGCGCCTCTCGTTTGAGGCGACTCTCTCAGCTCAAATGGCGTCGGGAGCAAGCGCTGCAAAAGATGGAGAAGCTGGCGAAGATGGAGTCCACCGTCCCAGAGTCATGAGGGTTTTGGGTTGGGGAAAGCATGGCCGTGGCTGCCGAAGAGGTTCGGAGTGTACCCCGGCAAACCACCTCCAGATGGGGCGTCCAGGAATTGTTCGGAGCTTCTTCCATCAACACTAGGCGGTGCATGGGGGGGCGAAACACAGCTTAGTTCTTTCGAGACCGAGCTATTCGAGAAACGAGTGGCAAGTATCGGGAGTATTGTTTGAGATGGATTTATGAATTTATGAGCGACGAGCTTGATGGGAAGTGTCCCATCCATTGGATTCCTCCCAGAGCTCATCTAGTGACCAAAGCTCGGTTGAACTACGGTAGAGGTCACACACACAGAGACGCACATATGATGATCTACCCCAGGCCAATTTCTTTTGTTTGCAAACAGCCGAAGTACTGATCCGCTACACCCACCGTGCTTACGGCGTCCGGACGCCCGCGTCCTCCGCGTCCTCCGTTTCCGCCAGCTACGGCGTCATTGAGCAGTCCGAAGAGGTGGGGCGCCGTTTTGGGGAAAACAGGAGCTTTTTTGGGGATATGCCAATGGATAGGCTTTTTGTCGATGACAAAACGCATTTCTGGTATGTTAACAGGTTTGGAGATCAATCCGGAAGCCGTCCAGAATGTTTGAACACAGAGGTTGAGCTCATTTAGGAAATTTAGGGACCGTGTCTTCAAGATGAATCTCAGAGAAGTTTCGAGGGAGGAACCCCATGGTAATGGTGTTCAAACAGTGTAAAATTGCGATTTGTTTAAATATATGTCTTAGATCGGCAAACGTTGTTCCGGGCTACGATGAACCTGCGAGACCTCTTTTGAAAAGGGGCACTTTGGGTATGTGGTCTTCTGCGCTGTAAAACCACAAGGAGATGAACCCCCACAAGACCCCCACAAGCAGATGTAAAACCATTTGCCGGTTGAGACAGGGCAACATGGGAGCCATTAAACCCAACATGCGGCAGAATTTTGTTGCATGACCACTGAAAAACAACGCGTAAGAGCCACTCAAGCAAAATCCCAGGTGTTGTTGATATTTTTTGTGCGGGAACCAACAAAAAAGGTCTGTGTTCCGTTCGTTCCGCACTGCCTCGCCAGGTGCAACAGGCGCAGGCAGAGATGAAACGTGCTGCAGAAGCTGCAGAGAAGTTGCCACTGGCATGAAAGGAATTGAAAAGACACTGTTGTCCCTCGAAGTTTGCCCAATTGTGTATATTATTAATATATATATATTCGAAGATGTTTGTGGTTGTTTTTCTTGGTCCAGTGTACGAAGGGCGGGAGATATTTTTCTCTTGTGAAACAGAGATTTGATATAATTTGTGGAGGCAAATATTGCCATCGTGCCGCGGCAAAAAAAGCAACCAACTTGTTAAGCTGACACAAAGAAGATGCTGCCTTTGATGATGTTTTATTAAATCTCAAACCATTGAACTCCATTGTGATGTAGTAGGTCGGTTTAATTCTAGATTTTTCTGTAGATCTCTGAAATCTCTTGAAGCGATACAAGTGCACTCCAAGCGGACCTGAAACTCTCATGCCATTGTAATTAAGCATCTGGTGGGATCAACGGAAGATCGACTTGTTTCATGAATGGTTCCAAAATGGTTCAATATCCGTTTCTTTCCTGACCTCATTCTTTCTCCGGCGCGTGTTTTCGAGTGATTTGCTGAGGCGATCGGAGTTGAACCAGAAGAAGAACAACGTCTCTACCATGATGATGATTCGCTCCAAGTTTGGATCCCTGATTGGCGTCATGTTCTCGACATGTTTCGCATGTTTGGTTTCCCCAAGAGCCTGGCAGCGGTGCTGTTTTGAGTCAATGATCGCTTGGCGTGTAGTATTTGCTGTCACGGTTTAGTGTGCGGTTTCATCATGCCTCCCAAGCATCTCCGCATCAACTGCCAGCTGCCAACAAGCCCAGCCGAGACACTTGGAAATACGAAATCATCTATTCCACGTTTTGGTTCGCTGGTCCGAGGCTGAAAAAGAAAGTGGGTGACGTCCAGGACCAGAGCCAGTTGCAGGCGAGGTGGTTTTGAGAGGTCGAGGCGTTTAGGTGAGTTCCGGGTTGGTTCTTCGTGGCTGCTAGTCCGCGCGATGTGGGCATCCGCGTATCTGCGAGGTTATACGTGTTGACTCCAGGGCCTCGTTCATGCGCTTCTGAGAAGGTGTACGTAGGTGGTGAAGACCCTGAAGAGTAGGAAAGTCTTGAGATTGTTTTGGAAACTAGGACTTTTCTATCAACCTCTACTTTTCTCTCAAGCTCAACTTTTCTCTCTTTTCTCTACGAGCGTGTGATTCTCCTATTTTCCTTGGGGCAGTACTCCAGTCGTCCAAAGCTGCACATTGCTTTTGGACCACTCAATGCTGGAACCTCCCCTCCTTTTCGCCAAGTGACAGGAAGTCTCCGAACTATATTCTGTTCATTTCTGTTCTATTCACTTGTTTTCACAGGTCGACGTCGAGGGTCGAGCCCCCGAACCGGAGACAAAAACATTTTGGAGCCAGAGTGAGCCCCATTAACAACATGAAACAGAGAGCAGCACGACGCATGTTCGGGACCTGGGACTTTTGATAGCTCTCAGCCACTGATTCTTCTTGGATCAAGCCAACGAATGCCTACGAGTCAAATGCAAGAAGCAGGAAATGAGTAGAAATGATACGAAATGATAGAGTTGGACCATGTTGGACCTACGAACTCCTTGTGTTTTTCATTGGTCCCGATGCAGAGCTGTTTTGGATCGACTTTCATTTGCTCTGTAGAGTCACTGCATGTCACTTCTGACTCCGCACTCTCATGGTTCCCTGATTCTAGTCACACTGGTTTCAAAAATGCGCGGAGAGAATCGTATCCTGGGAAGCACCAAAATCTCTCAGACTGTGGAAGAGCTGGCTTACGGTTTCTTGGTTGATTCAATCGATCAATAGGCTGAAACCAACCATGCCACCGTAGACCAGTCTGAACTAGTCATTTGCCGCTATATACCGCAAATTGATAAATGATGATAAATGATAAAGGATGATAAAGGGAAAACGAACAACTGTGTCGCTGCATGGTGTCTCTCGAAAGTTGCCTTAGAACCATTCTGTGCGGCTTCAGCCACATCTATATAATTGCATTAAAAAAGCCTCATGTGTGATCACCGCACCTCCTACCGTGGAAACGATGCGGTCCTCCAAGTGTGGGGTCAAGACCGGCGAGCCAGTCCCTGATTTGGTGGCACCAGAGGTGGATGGATTGAACGGGCGGAATTTATATAGGGACGTCTTTGGCCGGTGAAGTAGCCTTGGAAATGTTTGGGGTGTATCTCAAGAACTGTAACAGTGGGCAGATGATCGCTACTGAAGCGGTTGATGTGCTGCAGACCATCAGCCACTGTCACAATTGCAGTAGGATCCACCCAACATATGTTAAATGGGTATCGGTATCGCAACCTTATTTGGGTGGGTTGTGAAACCTCCCTAAAAATACTCTGAGAGTTTCGACCAAGTATGAACCAAGAAAAGTGAGTGCAAGGGATCGGCTCATCTAAATTAGTTTGGCCGCCTGTCACAGGCCTTGCTAGAACTCTTCACGGTGAAATGCAGTCTCAAGTTGAGTCTCAAGCAAACACCTGTTGGTGCAGACCCTTCAAGAGACGTTTGTTTGCTGGTCCTGCTTGAGGCAAGAAACACTGGCATGGGACATCGGGGCACTTGGCTAACCCAAACCTAAACACCCTTGGCCGCCTTGGCCCAACATCGTCGGGAGTGGCCATTCTTGGGCTACGACATGAACTCAGTGCATATCCAGTTGACATGGCATTCCCCCCATTTAGCCCAGTGAAAACCGTTCCCGACCATGGGAAATCTGGAGGTTGGGTGACTTTGTTGGAACGTTCTTTTTCCCAACAAGGTGCATCGCTACTAGTAGCTAGGGCATCGCTACTAGAAACAAGGGCATTACTAGTAGTAGCAAGAAGCTACTACAGGGTTCCCAGTCCCAGACATTCCCAGACCCAGTCGGCGAGTCGGTGAGTCCTTCTTAGGGGAAGGAGTCCCAGTCCCTGGTGGAGAGAGAAGCAACGGTGCTTTATGACTCATTTATGAATTTATGACTCTATGACTTCAGTGTTCAGCATTCAAGATATTCAAGATACAAGATGATACAAGCAAGTGTTGGAGATATCAAAAGACATTATTCACGCATTGCTTGTTCTTTTGTAGCTTCAATTTCTGGGGTGCCAACACTCACGCTGCATGCTTCGAACTGTGCTGGCTGTTGTGTGGTTCTGGCAGCTTGATGAATAGCAAGTAAATGATTTGAGGAAATGGCTACAGGGAGCTGAATTCACTTTTGGGTAGACCCGTAGCCAGAGTACTTGTGGTCAATGGACAAGTGTATACAGTGAGCCCAAAATACATCAAAATTCCCTTACAAAATAAAGTTGACCATTAGAAACTAAAAACCAACAATCAATTGTTGGTGGCCTTCTCTTTTGAGCAGCCAAATCCCCCAAGCTGCCACGCAAAAGTCTGCAGAAATTTCTTGGTGGCAGGGATTTTGGGGTGGATCCCCTATATCCCCTCAGTGGGAGGACTTCCAGAAGTCCAGCTACACTACGACCATGCGGGAGAGCGCGGAATTCTCACAAAATCGTGCCCAGACCTGTCAGCAAAGTTTGGTGACTTTTTCTTGAAAACTCACTACTGTAGGTTTCCCAAATAAATCCACATCACATGAGTGACATTCAACACCTGGACCTTCCTGGACCTGGGTGTCGGAGATCCTGCCAAGTATCATGATCATAAGTAAGTAGTGTAGGGGAGTGCGTAGAGGTTTCCATTGGTGAGCCCGTGAGGAAGGTGCTGGTTCACAGCGTTTGGAAGAATTCCAAAACCCGTGAGACCCTGCCCATCTCAGGATGGATAGCAGTGATGAAAGCCTGCCGAAGCTCTTCATCTTTGACCTGGAGCGCATGGCTGTGAGCAAGTCGACCACAAGATAAGAGTGGGTAGCAAGGGAAGATGCAGAAGTCCTGTTCCCCCGCAAGCCGTGCTTTCGGGCCATTGCATCTTTTCGGGGGCGCCCTGGAGATAAAGGATCCCTTGCCTAGGATGGATCCAAGCATCAAACAAAACACCCTGCCAATCAAATTACTTGTTTGATCTCTTTACCTTTGCAGGGCCAGAGTGGAAACAGCTTAGTTGCTCTTCTCCCCCATGACAACCAGCACACCTCAATCTCTTTTGTAAGGAGACATATGAAATATGGTTGACAAAAAATGCAATCACCCTGTCAGAACTCTTCATGGCTGGGGATCCTGCTCCTAGCCATCATCTTCTTCATGTTGAGAGTCTACATACATACCAGGGCTGAGGCTGTCGCGCCATTTGATCAGCACGAAGCGTACTAGACATGTGCATCCAACAGTGGACGAACCCCGTTGGGCCATATGAACCAGTCACATCTTCAATGAGACACGGTGGCATCCATCATTTTTTGTTGCTTTCCTTACACCATTGTTGGCCCCGTTCTATAATGTTCTATAGGGGTGAAGAGCTTGATCAGAGCCAATGTAAATCAGGAAGCTGAAGTCATGGTTGTATTTTTTGTTCGGATTCCTGAGAACGGTCTTGATCAAAGTCAATATTTCGAGGTACCAAAAAAGAAATGGCCGAATGGCTCAAATCTGTGTGAATCCCCGCATCCACAAGAGTCTTGGTTCTGCGCAAGCGTCGAAGCTGTTGGTTGCTGCATAGATCTAAACCACTGATCAGGGACTTGTTTGACCAAAAACTGATGTTTAGCGAAGTGGATGCTAAGTTGTTCCTGTAGCTGTTTTGGGCACTGCACCAAGAAGTCTGATTTGCTGACTCACTCACCACCGAATTCCGATCTCTTGGGTCTTCCTCACTTCGAGATGCAAAAAGGAGCACCCCTGGCCACCTCCGTTTCCCGGCCGTGCCTTTTTCGGGAAGATCGGACTCCTGTGCGTGGAGTCCGGTCTCTTCAGGATCAGACCCTGTGGGCCTTCGACGCAGCGCAGCCGCGCTACGCGGGGCCCCACCTCGTCGCGCGACACGGGGTGGAAGGAGTGCAATGCCAGGCGGACATCCGGTCGCCAGGGTTCGGTGGTCCGGTCACGAGGTGACTCCTCCTTGATACCATCGGTGTTTGCGTGGATACTGGACATAGATATGCGTTTATGGATGTTTATGGTTCGATCCTGTTTTGCTCTTTTGCGCACCGATTACTTGGAGCGGGAAGCAAGACACATGGTGGTCGGGTCCGCAGCTACTTTGCACTAGGGTTTTGGTTAAGGGATTGTGTTGATCTTCCCTGTGGGCAAATCCCCTTCTGGGGAATGTGTTGATGTTTTAATTGTTCCTGGTGGTTCCTGGTGGTTCCTGGACTGGACAGCAATCCATGATAGACAGATGGAGAAGTTGGATTCGCTTCATACCCCAGAGGAGTCCTTTCTAAACATATGATCTTGGTCTTCCGAGAAGACGTGTGTGTTATACCGGAATCCTGTGAAATTTGATGATCTCCCCTCTGCCATGCTCTTCTTTAGAAATCCTTCGTTGGAGACAGGACCCCTTTGGCTGATTGTGTATATATATATATAATAGAGAATTATTTTTGTCGGGATGGTCCAAGATTGCTGCCTGAAAAGGTATATAAGCATTCATGAGTCATGAGAATGGTTGAATGTTTCAGTGCGATTCCATCCCTCCTGGCAGAGTGTTGTTGTTCAGTTCTGGGGCAATCACCTATATAACCAGGCGTTTTGGGATCATCTCTCAGGCGGCGGTGGCTAAACCCTTCAAGGAAGCTGCAGAAATCGAGCTTTGGCAGATCTGGTGGGTCGTTTGTGTCGGGGCAGTCTTTGAAGAAACCTCATTTAGTGGGTTCAGAGTTTAGAAGAGGTCGCGCAGGCAGTAGACCCCTAATTAAGGTGCGGCAGGATGTTGCAGACCGGAGAGCTGTGGGACACCATCAGGGGGAGCACTGAATGACGGAGCATTGTCGGTCTGCTTCGGGGCCGGATCAAGACTAAACACCATGATCGCAAGCACTCGCCAAACGAGTCTGTCACTCACCTCCATGACCCCCAACCCCCAGAGATTGCTTTAAAGGACAGCTGAAGTGTGCAAACTCGACAAACTCTTTATCATGTAGTCAGGACAGTTCTTTCATTCGTTCATTTGTTCAGGCCCCTCTTGGGTGCTGTGACTGGGGCACGTCACCCAGTTCAACGCCTCTTCACATGTCCATGAGTCCATGCTATGAAACCATCAACCGGAAGTGGACCTGTTCGGGAACCGACCGGTGCAGGAGAGCGAGGGATCCCAGGTGTTTTTCATCCCTGTCCCAAGGTGCAGCACCTCAAAGGCACGACGGTCACTTGACGGGTGTCTTCCAATGTGCAGGGTCCAAATTCAAGCACTCACTGCTAATGGTAGCATAATCATAAGAACAGTATTCTCAGACTTTTTGGACCGACGTGGGGGCAGCTTTAAGTTTAGCCTCTCGGGGCCAAAGATGCAAGCAGCAGGTGATGTTCAAATTCAAGCAGCTATAAAAAGAAAAAGATCCCATGGCTTGGATGGAAGGAGCTCCTAGACTCCGACTTCGACGAACTCCTTCAGACATCAAGCCGACTTCGGGCGGCCCGTCGACGACTGGGCTCGATCGGGAGGCGTCCAGGCGCGGATCGCCGTGGCTTCGGCGAACAGTCAGGCGAGAAGCCGAA